CCTATTTTGCTCTTGTTGCCCAGGATTGTTTTGGCTATTCTGGATCTCTTCTAATTACATATAAATTTTAGGATTTTTCTCTAGTTTTATAATCAGTATCTATTGAAAGTGCTAGAACAAGCACTTTTGAGAGCACTAGGACATTAAAGCACATGGGATGCTAGAACAAGATACATGACTGAGACTATCTTAGGCAGATGGGATATAGGTTGTTCTAGGCGTAAAATTCAGCAGTGTTGTTCCACAATCCAAAACTCCAAGTGGAATTGCAGGCAAAGGGTACAGCAAGGTTACAGGGATTGTCACTAAGTGCTTCTTCCTTAGGCCCTTGCCTGCCTTTTCTTTTGATGGCCTTTTCTGCCATGAGTCACCAGCAACCCCACTCTGTCACTTATTTAAAAGTTTAACTATTGTATGATTCCAGGCAACCTCTTGACTCACTGATTGCTTGGCTGTCTTCCTTGGACTCCACCATCTTGTCATTCCCAGAACTTCCTGTTGCTCTAAATTTTAATTAATATAATCCCCATGTTTGCCTCTCTACCATTCTCCATCTTTTTCCTCTCTCTTCAGTCCCATTTATTTGCTTTGGTTTTTGGCTTCCATACAGTTCTCCTTCTCTTGGGAGGCTTGGGTCCAAAGCTGTCAGTAATCTATTGTTCTGTTTTCCTTTGGTTAATCTCCCCGAACCTTTCATAAAGTAAATTTGACAAAGTCCCTTGATTAACAAAGGAAATGCTCAAGTCAGCATAAAAGTATGCATAGGGATACAAGTATACTTGGGGACATGTCTGCTGATCACATTGCTCTTATACATAAATGGTCCAAGAGAAGTGGAATGTAACTAGAATTGTACTGAGGTACCATGCAACATGAGAACAAACCCTTTTCCCAAGAAATAAATTTCTTTAACTAAAATTATTGAAAATGGAATATTTTTCTATGTGCAATAAATTCAATAAATTCTTGATGGAGTGAGAATGTGTTTGGACTTCAGAGTAGGGTGGAATTCTGCTTCGTTTGTAGTAATGGAGAAAATTAAACACAAAGGAACGGGTACCTAGCAGGTGATTGGTGAGAAAGACTTACTACTTCTACTGATAAAATACTCCAGAGTGAACATCTGTATGTAGGATCAAATAGAATCTTTTTAGACAAATTATGGGTAAAAAGAATTTACATTCAGCTTCTGACATGTGGTTTCACTGTTTTTTTTTATTACACTGGATTTTTGTTTGTTTTTTGGAGACAAGGTCTCACTATCTAGTTCAAGCTGGCCTCAAACTCACTGTGTAGCCCAGGTTGGCCTCAAACTCACTGCGATCCTCCTACCTCAGCCTCTCAAGTGCTGGGATGACAGGGGTGCTCCATCACACCTGGCTTACTATTTATTTTTAGGCAATTGAGTAAAATATCTCTATGATTGAAAGTAACAGATGATACCAAACTAATTAAAATTACCAGAGACATAACAATCTCTAGGGATTTTGATTATAAGGTTACTTCTCTTTATGTTGAACTATGTTAGCAGACAAAATGAAAGACTTTACGAAGTACTGTACAGTATATGTGTGGGAGGGGTTAAAGAGTAAGGTGTTTTTCCCCCTTTGGGAAAATAAAAACCAGTCACAAAGAAGGTAGTTGATTTAATGTCTGAAGTACAGCCTTGAATGTATTTCCTGTTAAAGGAACTGAACTGCAGAGTGTTAGAAATGCCTGTGCCCCCATTCCTAGAAAATGTTTCTCTGAGGTATTTTCCATAGATGAGAGAATCTTTTAATTCTTATTGTAAAAATCCGGGAGAAGCTTGAAGACATCATAGCAAACAGGAAACAGAGTTCAATTTGTGGAAAGTTCAGGGAAGAAAAGCAAATCACTGAAAAATGTGTCTCCCTATAAAGAATCTTAAAACACAAAGAGGGTAGAAAACAATGATTAAAAAAAGCTATCATAGATCCATTAATGGGAATGTGGTATGCCAGTGAGCTGACTGGGTGTGTTTTGAATTTCTAGGCTTTAATCTACCTTTCTACACAAATTCTTCTCAAAGAATGCCCCCTACCGCCAATACCTTTCTAATGCTATTTAAAATAAATTCAGAATCTAGTCTCTAAAAATTTGTTAGAAGTTATCCAGCCTAGAATAGGAAAAACTTAGAAGAACTTTAAATCTAGGACATCTTAGACACACACACACACACACACACACACACACAAAGAATTTGGACTACTGGATGTGGTGGTGCATGCCTGTAATTCCAGCTCTCTGGGAGGCTGAGGCAGGATGATCAAAAGTTTGAGCCTAGCCTGGACAACTTAGTGAGACTTTGTGTCAAAATAAAAAATAAATAAGTAAATAAGAGTTGGGATGTAGCTCAGTGTGAAGGCCTTGGGTTCTATCTCCAGTATGACCAAAAGAAAGAAAAGAAGGGAAGGAAAAGGAAAGGAAGGGAAGGGAAGAAGGAAAGAAGGGAGGGAGGGAGGGAGGAAGAATTTGGACAAGCTTTGGTCTAAGTAGATCAGATAGAATTGGGATAATTTTTTCTTCTTAATTTTGACTAAATAAATTTCTCAAGTCTCACAGTGATCCAGTTTGTTGTCCACACATTCTGAGCACAGTACTTTTCTATAGCATCAGAAAAATCTGGGAAGAGGTTGAGCTGTTGAGTGATCCATGACCACACTTTTGGGACCAGGAGTGGAACTTCACTTCTGGGGACCTGCTGAAAATTTGAGAGCAGGTTAAGAAAATTGCTAGAGTACTGCATGGCTAAGTGGTTATGTGTTGGGAGCCTTTCAGAACTGTGTAGTGCAGCTGGGACAGCCAAAGAACCTCTAAGACTCCTGGATGGGGGCTAGGGATAGTGTCTAGCAGCCATCTAAGTGCAGTGCTCGCCTGGAGGTCCAGTGTGGAGGGGAGGCTCACACTTGAATACCTCTTTAGCTCAAACCCCCAGTTCAAGCACATTCTTTGTAGTCACCTGCTGCACAATAACTAAAACCTTATTCGATTTCACCATGTTGGATGCCACCAACCAAAAGGATGCTCTGGTCACCAAATTGTTACAAGGAGAAAAAAATCTCTTACAGCCCTCTTCCTGGACTTGGTGGGTAAAGAAGGTACTCTTGATGTTCTCCTGGTGTTTATCAGTTTATAGCCCATTTTCAGAAGGGGAATCATGGAAGGTTATAGCACTAAGCATAGGACTGAAGAGGAGATGAAGAGGCAAACAGGACTGAAAATGTCACTTGCTCCACTGGCCCTCAGTGATCCTAACATCGGGTTGAATCTGCTTGTGGGAAGGAAAGTTTATCTTTGCATAAAATCATCACACAGTCCAAGAGCAGCATGGCAAGGAATCTGGGGCTTCGTGTGGACACCTGACTCTAATGGAAAGGCTTATGTTGCCAAAGACAAGCCTCGCACCCACTTTTTCCAATTCACCAGAAATTACAATGGAAAAGGATAACTATAGCATCCTTTATCATATTTTTGCAGGTCACAAAGCCATTGGCCACTCACCCTGTTCTATGAGGGGGAAAATGGCCACTTCTTTTTATAATACTTTAGTTACCAAGGTGTTTATTGTTACTGTCATTTGTACAGGGTTTTTTTTTTCAAACAGAGAAATAATCATTACCCTGAAAAAGGACTTCCCTTCAACAACTTCCCTTGTAGATGATGAACTTTTAAGGGTTATCTGAATTCAATTTTAATTTCATAGAAAGGAAGAAGTCTGTATTGTGAGAGAATATCTAGTGTTGATAAGTGTATCATGGCTCCTGCCAACACCCTGGTTGGATAGAAGCTGCACTCTGGGCTGCAACGAAGGATTCCTTTATGGCTGAGGCCAGTGCCTCTGCTGAGGCGCACCAAGTTATGGGGGCAATTTTGAATGTGTGCTTTTCCTGGGAGAAAAGCCCTGATATCAACAAGCACAATGTCACCATAAATGTTTTATAAGTTTAGATTCTGGCTGAAGTGGAGACAAAGGATAACATTCATGATGTCAGAGTTTCCTTGGTATATCTCTTTTCAAATGGCTATTAAGCACCTGAATTAGACATTGTGGAAGGTACCGAAAAGCAAAGACATGCTTGCTTCTCTTGAAAAGTTCATTCTCTACTTGAGCAGCTTACATGTGTCTACCCCACGTACATTACAGCATGTGTGCCATTGGCCGTGGCATGTGACACAGCAGAAGTAACAGCTCTTGGTCAGCCCAGTGATATTCCCTAGCCAGCAGTCTCCAAATCCCAGACAGAAAGCCATCGGCAGGACAGTGGGAGTGGATCTTAGGGAATTGGCCTAAGAAATAGGAAGTTTACAGGCAGAACAGCACGGTATGTGACTGAATTTTAAAAAACAAATTTACCAGATGCATTCTCCTCCATCCTTAATCTACAACACCAAAGTATCCTCAAAAAATCCTTTCCTATTTGTTTTCCACCTACCAAGACTAGGGTCTCTCACTTGAGTACAGGGCATTAATCTTAAACACTTAAATTGTATCACTTTTATATTGTCAGATTCCTTTTTTCCTCATCTCACTGTGAAGTCAATTGCTCAGCGTCTTACTCCTTATTACAGCGTAAATGGATATAAATGCAAAACAAGACCTTCTTAGTTAAGACCACTGATGTAATATTTATGTTTAGAACCATTTAGTGATGCACTACCAATGAATAATCTGACCAGGCACTTCATGTGAACAAGGAGCTGACAAAAGACTGGGAAGAAATTCAAACTTGAGATAAGAAATGGCAGGATTTCCTGGGAAAAATTTTTATGTCATGTCAAAGGTGGTAAAAAGGTCAATGGAATAAAGATGGAGAACAGAGAACTTTTCTACAAAATGGTTACTCAGATCTCACCAAATGGTCAAAAATACTGTTTCTCTCACAAATACAAGGATGCTAAGACAGTTGGCCTATTGTGTGGAAAAATAACTAAACAAATACCATCATTTCACACAAACACAAATAGCAAAAAAACAGAAATCAAAGTTTTGGGTCATTCTGTTTATTTCACTTAGGACATTCAGTAAGCATTAATTAGGGTACTTAAAAGTCATTTCAATTAGGAACCTCTTTAGTCCTTCATCAATTATTTCGAGTGTTCTAGTCTCAAACACGTCCTTTTCTTCTACAAACTTCTGAAAAAGATGAACACCTCCACCAACACCAAAATAATGCGTTTTGGTGGCCAAAAGCACCCGTCCATCTTTACTCAACAGTCTAAGGAATGTTTGGTGCAAACTAGTATAATAATCCGGATTATAAATCGTTTCTGAGGTAAGAATGAGGTCATATTTTACAAAGAGTTTTTCACTGCTTAATATAAGCTTACAAAACTCAGACCACTCTCCAGAGAAGAAATGACATTTACATAGCTCCTGTGCCACTTTTGTCTTTCTGCATCTTTTCACATCAGGTTCATTTACATCATTTTCCTCGTCTTCCAAAGAGGAGTTAGCCACGACATTAGGCAAAGTCACTTCATCAATTACCAAACTGTTATAGTCTTGAAAATGAATTTCTTTGGCCCCTCCCTTGAATGCAGTTATACCCAGCAACCCTGATCCACAGCCAAGATCCAACACTTTTTTCCCAGTAAATTGCACTTTGGCCTTTGTGAAGTAAGCCAGGAGGTCAAAGGTACATTCCCAAATTTTTAAGCCTCCTTCGTAAACACCTGTAATCAGATCAGAGTGGGAAGATAAGCTTTTGGAAATTATGTTTTCTCCAGGGAAGTTTTCTTTCGACCAGATGGTTTTCACTACTGACAGGTTAACATGCTGAAGACCTGGTAACACTTCTATGACTTTATTTTCTAACACTTTCTTTAAATCTTTAGGCATAGTATGCTCTTTGGCAACTCCCAGGCAGGGCTGCTTTTCATGCGGCTCCAAGTCCTTTGAACTATTGGCTGCACCAAGTGAGCTGTCAGGGTCTTGAGAGGGAGCTACATTTCCCATTGACCTGCACTCCCACAAGAGCTCCTTACACAGGTCAGACTGTTCTATAGAACAGTTCCTCTCCTTCTGTTTTCCTTTTTGACTTTCTGAGGCTGACGATACTTTTGAGGGATCCAGAGTCAAAGCTCCATCTCCAGGGGGTGTTAATTCATCTTCTACATGGTCTTCTATAGTGAAATTAAATTGAAAGGTCATCTTTGTATTAAATGCACACAGTCCTTAATTTCAAAGGAAGATTCTTCAACTTCTGGATAAAATCTGATGATGCACAGAAACCTGCCTCAATTATTCAATTAGTCCCACTGAGGTCAATTTGTCTTTAGCTGCTTATAGACCAATACAAACATTTAGAGATGTTTCTGAAGACTTTCCAAAGAAGTTTTTGATCTCTTTTATTTGACTCTGGAAAAAAAATAAAATGCTAATTAAACCAAAATAGCACATTTCACCAAAATTTACCTGCCCTACCCTTTACTTACCCTATCATACAGCTGCCTTTTCTAAAACAGCTGTGGGGGGAGAGAAGAGATTTGGGAAAACATGCACAAATCTTAAGGGTTCAAAAACTGGAGAAAATAAACTGTAAAAACAAACCAAACAACAACAAAACAGTAGAGCAGCTACTGCTACCACTACTAGAACCATGTCCAAGATTTTGGGACAGGACAGCCTACTTGGTGTCTTTCAGTTGTCCTGGCTGTGCCTGAGCATGTGCATCCCCAGAACCTCCATAATTTCTGTTACTGCCTCAAAACAGGGGAATTCAAAATTGTATTTTGGTAAGTGAATATTGCTTTCAAAATAAACATTCAGACATGGGCAGAAGTGTGTAAACTCAACCAACCGACTTCACTACAAACATCTGGTCCTGACTGGCAGCCCTAAGGTATGTGACTGGGGTCATCTGAGAGTAATTAATAAAGATTAGTTTGTTGAGCTGACCACAAAATAGGGACGCTGCACTACCCACTTCTATAGGAGGACTGTAAGAAGTGGAACCAGCTGGGTTTGTGAGACCAAAAGTGACTCCATTTTGCTAATGTGAGACCAGAATGACTCCATTTTGTCCAAAATGGAGCAGTCTCCTTTGTTCTTTCAAATTAATGATTAAATGTGCTTAATCTGGGACAAAAGACATGATCTGTAACTCAAGATTCCTAAGCTCATTACTCAGCCATCTGTTCGCCCTAGAAACAAGTGTCCCGGGCCCACTATCTATAGGACAATCTGTTAATGTGCTGACTATCCACACAAGGTGGTCATGACCTTTAGTCAAGATGTCTGCTGACCATCAGTACTTGACAGTAGACCACTAACCTTTGTCCCCATTTTTCTTGTAAAAACCTATACGTAATCCCCTTCAACCCCCAATGAGCCTAGCCAATCAAAATTCTACACTTCATACTTGCTAAATGTTAACCAATCATATGGCTGCTAATGACCGAAGCTTGCTGTAATCTCAATAAAAACCCTGCTAATTTGGAACTCGGGGCTCTCAATCTCGATCCGATGTGTCGGTGACAATTGAGAGTCCCTGCTTAAGCTTGAATAAACGACCCTCGTGTGCTTACATCGGAAACGGCCTCCTGGTGGTCTTTGGGACTTCGTAATCTGGGCACAACAGGTTTTGTGTGTATGTGTTTTTCTTCTGTTTTGTTTTTCTGCAGTACTATGGATTGAACCCAGGGCCCTCTCATTAAGCCACACACCCCAACTCTTTATTATTAATTTTAAAATTTTTGAGACAGTGTCTCATTAAGTCGCTAAACTGCCTAGGCTGGGTTCAAACTTGCGACCCTCCAGCCTCAGCCTCTCATACAGCCAGAGCTCTGTACCACCTGTTCCATCTGCACAGAAGTCCTGACAGGTCTTTATTATGCTACATCCGCACCTCCACCCCCAGTGCAAAAAGGGTGTATATCCCCGTTTCCACCTCTCACAATGGGCTGGTAGCCACTTCCTGGACGGGTCCCGTCAAATTTGACCCTAGAAGAACTCAAAGCTCCATGGGACCGACGCTTGCAAACCTGGGGACTTCTGGTCCTCACCTCCTCGAAGCGCCAGATCTCAAGAGAAACTCTGGAGCGACCCTGGCCCTGGACGCACGAGATGGGGAGAGCCCTGGAGTCGGCCGCCTGAGAATGCACACCAGTGAGTCGAGTCCTCCGGGGAGCCAGAGAGGCCCTGTTTCCCTCTTGGCCGCAACGGAAGCCCGCCGGTTTCCTCTCTATAGTTCAGTCCTGACCGAGGTCTCGCGAGGCCTGCCGGGATGCTCGGGCTTCCCGTTCCGGCTGTGGTGGGAAGGGTTTGAAGTTGGCTTTTCAGGTGACAGCATGTCTGAGGAACGCGCGGGCACCCTGGAGGAGTTGAGCAGCTGGCCGGAGGAGCTGTGCCGCCGGGAGCTGCAGTCTGTTCTGCCCCGGCTCCTCATATCCTCGGTGGTTATTTGTCGCTTAGCGGGGCCGCGTGCGTGGCGGCGGCCGGTCCCTGTCTATCCCTGGCGAGAGCGAAGATGGTGGCGAGTGAGCGTCCGGGAGGCCGGGGCTTCGGCTTTGGGGCGCACAGACTTTTGGCGGGGCTTTGGCGGGCCGCGGCGTTTTCCCCCAGTCAGTCTCTTTACCTTGGTTTCTCTGCGCTCCTGACGCCTTGGAGTGGGGCCATGGGGGAGGCGGCTGCTGTAGCGCGAGAGGGATTCTCTGAGCTTTTACAGAACATCCGCGCACCGGGTGGGAATTGGAGTCCCGCCTTCCTCGGTGTTCTAAGAATGAAAGGACAGAGCTCTACTAAGGTGCCATATCTTTTTAAAAAAATGTTGAAAAGATTCTTCCTCTCTTGCTCATTAGAAGGAATTGCTTCAGGTGTTGGCTTTCATCAGCTTTGAGGTTTTTTTATAACAACATTTATTTAGTACTTTCTGTGTGCCAGGTTCTGTGCTAAGTACTTTCACCGGTTTTGTCCTTTGTTGTTTGTGGTGGTGGCTGGGAATCCAACCCAGGGCCAGGTGCATGCTGAGCTAGCGCTCTACCACTGAGCTACATTCTCAGCCCAGCGTTTGAGTTTCATGTCACCGTTGCCAAGCACTGACAGTTCTCTGTAGCTCTAATGCCCTTGTGGTTGTCTCTGTGCCTGGAGTCCTAACAAGGTACTTTTTCCTTTACATCGTTGAGGACACTTTCAACTTAAAATTATACTCGATAGGAAAAAAAAAGTCGTTAGAACCTCGACACTGTGTAGTTTTTCACAGTGATAGCCCAATATAACTAAATATTATCATATAGAAGCCATTCACCTAGGCATTAGCAAAATGTGGTACCAAAGTCCTACTCAAACCCCTTATTGTGTACACAGCCTGTGCAAGGCATTGTGTTTACTTTATGAGCACAAAAATAAGGAACATGGTTCCTTTTCTTCCCCTCAGGTTTATGGAGACTTCTCTAAATTGAAAGTTAGCACTCCCATCATGCTTTGTATCTCAGATTTAACATGTTCAAGAGAACTCAAATTTGTTCTTCGAGTTTTCTTCACCTAAGTAAATGGTTTTACAAACCCAAAACTTTAAAAAAAAACAGAATACAAACTGAAACATTGAGTTCTAAATCTTTCATAGGAAATTGTTTCTGACTCCAAACTCTTGAGTCAATCTACATATCTATTGCTACCCCTATTGCTACCACACTGACTCTAAACTCCTACCACCTGAATTATTGTTAAGTTTCCTTATTTCTGCTCATGTCTTCTAATAATCCATCCTTCAAAAAAAGTTTAGAGTGAAAAACATCAAACCCCTCTCTTCACCCTCATGACTTAATGAATTAGGAATAAAATCTTGATTTATCTTCAAAGCTCCCCATAATCTGAGCCTTGTCCCTCTCTCATACCTAGCCAACACCCTGTCTCCACAGATAACATCAGGCTTACCTGCCTGAGAATCTTTGTACCCAGCCTAGTTTGTTTTGAACATCTCATCATTCAGGTCTTAGCTCAAATGTTACCTCCTTGAGGAGCCTTTTTTTTTTTTTTTTTTTGGTACCAGGGATTAAATCCCCGGCCCGAGGAACCTTTTTAGAGCTCTGAATCTTAGGTAGTTCCCCAGACCCAGTCTGTTACACCTTTATCTTATTGTTGTGTTTAGAAAGCACTTTATCATTAGCAAATTATCTGTTTTACTCCCTGCACTTTTCCTCACCAAACTGTGAGGTTAGAGGCAGGAACTTGGTTTTGTTCATTCCTTCATCCTCAACACGAAGACCGTGCCTGGCACTCGATAACTGTTTGGTAAAGAAATAAAAATATTTCATGGTTTAAAAATGCTCAAAAGTGTCAGGTAATATATTTTCAGCATATGGTAATATTTTATCTTAACTGTTTGCAATAAGTGAAGGAAAAGTCCACAGTCTTAGTCAACCTAATACAATTATTTTCATATTTTGTGTTTTACATATTATTGTCTAGTCCTTATGTATGTAATCATAACGTATGATTACTTGTGAAATAGCAACAATCTTTTTAAACCTTACTGGAATTTTTCCATAAGGCAAATTCTATCCTACTGGACTCATGAGTTCATGATTGTACCTCATTATGATTGCTATTGTGAAAAATATACACAAAGCAAGATTTCAGAGGTGGAATCAATCCTTGTATTGAGTGATAAGTTTTATGGATTTGTATTTCTTGTTAACATATTCTTTAATGATCTCTATGATATTTTTACAGTAAATATTTCTAGCAGTTCTTAATGATGTTCACCTTTTGCTTTGAATGTAGGGTAATTTCTGGTAAGGTTAGTATACAAGTACTGTTATATGAAAATACTTAAGACAGGTACAAATAAAGTAGAAATGATGAAGAGATAGAAATTTCCATCCAGTAGTAGAGATCAGGAGTTCATGGATTAGTACAGCATTGTTATTCATCTGTCAAAAATATTTTAGACTGCCCATGGTTCGAAAGGTTAAGTTTATCCCTGAGTAATTCTGTTGTTAACCTAACATTAAATTTTTAAATAAAAGTAAGCCAGTAATTTGAGTCTAATTTTAGTCTCAGGGATCTTTGCTAAATTTTAAGAAGGGTCCTTTTTGAATTTTTTATCAGGAATGAATATTCTGTTACAATGATACCAGTATCTTCCTTAATTATTTTACTCTATGTATCAACATTCTGAGAGTTGGATTGAGCATATTCGTAAGTAAAATTATTTTGATTATATCATTTACTTTGATGTCATAAGTTCTAAGTCCCAGGCAGATCAATGAATATGACCTTACCGTTTTGTATTCCCTTCAACTTTAATCATTTGTTGTTATAGACTCTGCAACCTTTAGTTATTGAAATGATCAAACTTCTTCAAAGTACACTACTTAATGTCATTTGGAGGAAGTTGCCTTTATTTTCATTTGACTTTTATCAGTCTTCTTTGATTTACTCTCTAAGAGAAGAGCAAGTTAAGACTGTTGATGGCTCAGTTATGCACATTTTGAGTTAGCTTATTTATATTTCACTTGTTTGTAGATTATTTGTTTATAATTTTGCATCTGAATTGCCTGTTGGGGTCTAATTTTGTCAAGTGACAATTATTTTTTATCTTGAGTATAAAAGTTACACATATTTATTGTAGAACCTTGAAACATGCAGAAAATCAGAAATAGTTAAGATGGTGAGAATGGTCTCATTTCTGTACGTTCTTATTGGCCTCTCCTGTGTGCATACATGTTTATGTTAAATTGAGATTATACTATTTTGGAATCTTTTTAAGCTTAAACTATTGTGAACTTTTTTTAATGCTTTTAAATATTTTAATGACGGCAGGTGCTGTTCGACAGATACACCCATATCATTTTAACTAGCATTCAGTTGCTTGATTTATAGACATTTTTCTTCCTTTTTTTTGCCATTAGATACTACTACTTAGTTTCTCTATATAGAATTTAGCATTTTGAAACTATACAAAGCTTCAGAATGACTATACTTACATACTCATATGTTTGGTTAAAAAAAACTTGCTAATTGACATATAATAATTTTCCAAAATGTTATTTTGCTTTATAGAAATTTTGAAAATTATGATAGATATGTTTTTACCTCATATGAATCACCTGACATTGGAACAGACTTTCTTTTCACAAATGTTACCAAAGGTATAGTACTGCTATCTTAATCTACATGTTATAAAGGTTCTTAAAATCTAGTCTCAGTTTTATATTATTTAGTCTTACTTGTGGCTCTGTATTCTAATTTAGCAAACATACCTAAAGTACAAGTAAGTAGTAAATAATAGATCTCACGTGCATATGTGGCGTTGGTATAATTATTAGGTGATTGAAAACTTCTGTTTTTGGGTTTTACTAATTGATGGATCCTTTACTAATTGAATTTAAATTATTTGTAGTTAATTTTAAATACTCTTGTAAAGTCAATGAAAATTTGGGATGGATTGTAGAAGTTACCTAAAGTCCCTTTATCGTCACTGTAGTGTTTATGAATAATTGGTGAATTTCATTGTTTAGAAAAATGGAACCAAAAAATTTATTAAAGAGGTCTTAGAAATAGCTAAAGTGTTCCGAAAATCAAGTAACTAAAAGAAAACATTAAATTCACAAACTGCATTGTTAATTTTTACATATATATTATACTGTTTCTTTGAAAAGTAATGCCATCCTTTTTTTTAAAAGTAAAAGAAACTAAAGGTACTTTCTGCCAAAATGAAATGTTTATTTATGATAATTTATTGGAATGGATTTCTAAGTGTAGCTGTTAAGTAAATAACGATCAGAATTCCTTTTACTTTACCTGATTACTCTATCTGAAAAGATTCTTAGAATTTGTTCTTTACCGCCAAAAAAAGTCACGTAGGTGAAGACAAGGATGTGAGTGTTAACTGGCCTATGGAAAACAGTATCCTCTTTAACTACATTGTGTTGTCTGCATTGTTATTCTTTTAGTGTTCGGGCCATTTAAATTATTTAGAAAGACCTGTCTATTAAGATACTAGTGTGGTTAAATTTTTATAAACAAACAAGCTTGATTGTAGTTTCACATTCTGTACCCCTAATCCAGCGAGGGAATTTTGAATTGGTCACAAAGGTGAAAAGTTAGAGTGTAAGTCAATAATGAATGGGTGATTCAGTACAGATTCATTACCACTACCAGAATATACCTTTGTAGACACCTATATGAATATTGGTTGGTCAGGGTAGTCACTTTTTTGTTTTTTTGTTTTGGCTTTTTGAGAC